GTCTCCTCTGAGGCTGGGACTCTAAACAGTGTTCTGTGCTCGTCTGTGCAGCCAAAGACATAACAGTTAGCATGTTTTGCTCAAACTTTCACCATGGCATTAGAGCTGGCACACAGTTGTCTCTTGCTAAATCAAAATGACGGTGCCTTGGGTGGAAGTTTACAGATTAAGGGGGCTTTAATATTATAATGAGATCCCTTTGCCACGTCACCAAGGGAGTGAAATCAGATGCGCTCGTTTTCTCAGGCTTGCAGAAAAAGGCTTCCCAAAACAAAGTTACTGGGTTAATCTTTTTCACGTTTCCTTGGTTGGTAGATGCATGGGGGACCTGATTATAGCACTTAAAACCTGGAAAAGTCAGATTTTCATGATATGTCACCTTTAAGACACAGGCTGACTAAACTCTCATAAATAAAACAAACACAGATAAATGTAAGGTATGTAAATGTAAAGAAAATGTTGAGTATGTATTAACTGATTCCCAAAAACATTAATGTAGAAAAGCTGAATTGAGAAAAAGAAAAAAAAAAAAAAAGTCAAAACCTCATTTGTATAGATATCGGAAATTATTTTACAGGAGAAATCATTGCAATTATTTAAATATTTAAAAAATAATTTAAGATGTCAAACTTATTGTCAATTACCATGAGTCAAAATTGCAGAATAGATATCTGGAATTGGAAATTTGACTACTCGAAGCTAGGGGGCTGTTTACACAACACCATGTTCAACTAATTAAGCGTTAGCGTTAGTTCTGGCAGGTCACGTGAGTCAAGCTTGCATCAGCTGATTCTCAGCTGATCACATCTACCTATAGGAATACGACACCTATCGCAGCATTCCTATATAAGCTCTATTCAGTATTATTCAGCAGCTTTTCAGCTTGCTCAGGAGCAAATTACCCTCCTCCATCCCCAGCTCCTCCTTTCGCCACAGTCAGGACTTGGCTTTCTGATATTCCTTGCTAATCAGACTCCTTTATCTTGAATAAAGTGTTACACTTAAATATCATTAAGTACATTAATGATATCTGCCTTATTCTGTTCTGTTAACCCTAGGGGGTTATTATTGCTGCTCTCCCTGCTCATTCATGACAGGCTGCATGGATGGGCAGGGAGTTTTTTGCCTAGAACAGAACCATACCGCCAAACCAAACTTTATGCTAAGTATCTATCCTTTTGACGATAGTGGTCCTGACAGAAATATTTTTATGTGTTTTGTCCGTTCATGTGTTTTGTCAATTTACATGACAAAAACATTTTGGAGTCCTGAAAATGCACATTTCTGAAAATGGGTCTCAAAGTGCAAGCTTTTGAAAATTATACCATTAATCTCTGTTCAAACTACAGCAATGCACATTTGTAGAAATGGTGATGCCATGAGCTTCTGCCTAAAATTAATTCATGTTAACTGTATGATTCTATTATATTGAACTGTTCATTTGTGAAATGAACATTATTGGACACATTCACTTCTGATAACATATCACTCTATTGTAATGTAGACACATGCGTTTTCTGTAAAGCTGCTTTGAAACAATGTATATTGTGAATAAAATACATTTGAATTGAATTTAATATGTTACACGTTCAGACTATCCACCTTATTCCTACGCCCCATGATGCTTTGCGTGAATTAGATGTAAACAATCAGTGAAAGGCTTGCTCTATGAACGCAATAATACGTTTATTTATTTTTAACTGGGTACAATGAGATGAAATTATTCTACTCAACTTCAACCACTGAACATTAAAATGGCATTTAAAAGTGTAAGAGCATAAACAAGGTACTTTCAACAGACCATAACCCCAAAAGCGCGATTCTTTCCACAGCAATAATGGACGGGTGAGATATCACTGTATTAATAGCCTATGTATTATGTAACATATGTTGCCTTAATCAAAAATGTTAATTAACTTCAGCAATGCATGATACTATTTCACAGTGACCGTCATTTTGACAGATAATAAATTGTATTTAACTGTGAAAACAAACAAATCTGGAAAGAGACGTGAGGATTTGAGGGGATGTATTGTAAATTAAATCGGGAGAACAAACAGACGACAAATATACAGTATATGTTGTCCTTTTACATACTATTACAGCGAACGCAAAGGGGAAAAAAAAGAAAATAATAATGAGAAAAAGAATGGGTAACGCTTTAGATTACAACCCGCAAAGAACTATGTAAGTATACTCAATTTACGGTGTACGTTTCTGTAATTATAGTGTACCTATAAAGAGATTACTGAACAACAAAACTGGACATCTAGTGAAATGAGTTTCTGTTAATTTATAATTCACAAGTCTACTTACCTTATGAGAGCTTATTCGTCAATTTCAGCAACTTCACACCAGCAACTTCTCAACACCACTATCACCAAATAACTTTGCATGATATACCATCAAGG